TATGGATTTGCCACCACACTCTGCCCTGCCCTTATCTCTTTTTCTTTGAACTATTTGGTTTTTGTTTGTTTTGTTGTGTTTTGAAACAGGGTCTTGCTCTATAGCACAGGCTGGCCTTGAACTTGCCACAATCCTGACTGCTGCCTCAGCCTTCTGAGTGCTGGGATGATGGGTACACAACACCATACCTGGCTGGACTAGTCAGCATGTTCCTAACTTTTAGCCCCTGCATCTGTCTATGTGATAAAGTAGCCAACAGTCACATGTGGTCATCTAAATTTATATTTAGACTAAGACTCAGTAAAATTTAAAATTCAGCTCTCAGTCACACTAGCTACATGCCAAGAGTTCAACAGCCACATGTGGCTCATGCCCCATACTAAACACCACAGGTTAAGAGCATTACACAACTGGAAGACGGCCAAGCGGTGAACAGCAGAAAAACTGCCTCTTCAAGAGTTGGGCATCCAGATGCTGGAATACAGCAATATGAGGAAGGGAAGAAGGAGAGAGGGGAGTCCCTGGGAGCCCGCAAGGGACCAGGGATATAGCACTGCAGCACAGCGCCTGCCTGGTAAGCACGTGAGGTTATGAGTTCAATTCCTGCCACAAAACCAAACAAAAACCATGGGACCCAGTAAGGCTCTGAATTGAGAATTGACACCCATAGGGAGACCAAAGAGAGACTGCAATGCAGAAGGAGGAGGTAGCAAGCAACATTTTCTCACTGAGCTCTGATTCACTGAATTTGAGGGGCAGCTCAAACCCACAGACATAGTGACTACTAGTAACCCTAGAGGTCTCTATTTAGAGCCACCAGTGGAACAGAGCAGTGGCCACAGTGGACTGCAGAGGCTAGTGAGGTATTTGTGCTCAGGCACCCCCGCCCCCATGAGAGGGTGATTGGCTGGTAGCCATATTGGAGAGGGGGCAGCTGAGCTTGGAACACAAAGCAGCTGCAGACTGGCTCCATCTAGCAGCTCGCAGTTTTAGGATGAGGTGGAATTCAGTTGAGGGCATCAGAAGGTCAAGGAGCCAAGTTCAAGCCAACAGCAGGCACACTGAGTGCGACAGGTTGAACAAAGCAGAGTCCAACCTCACGGCCAGAAACCAGCCTGAATTTCAGTGGCACCAAAGGTACAGGCTTGGGGCTGGTGAGATGGCTCAGTGGTCTAAAGCACCTACTTAGAACAAGCTAAGCTA